TTTATAATTTTTAAAAAAAAATATTAAAATAGAAAATAAACAAATACAATGTTGTTTCTGTGATCTCGAAAAATGAAGTGATAGTGTGTTTATTACTACGAGCTGACCCGCGGCATATCGTACGCCGCTATTTAGTTGTTGTTTTTTTCTACTTTTCAGTAATTCATAATTTGTGGATTCGACAGTACCAATGCAGTCACTGAAAATATTTGCTTTAAAACACTAACCCCCCCCCCCCCCCCCCCCCCCCCCCCGTAAAAGCAGCGCCCTCTTAGTTATCTCCTCTAAGTTTAAAATCGTTTCAAACTAAATTATCTGCCCCTAATAGCCGTCACCAAACCCAGCTCTATGATTGTAAAATGTAAACATTTAGAGTGAACTACAACTCACCAGACCATGTAGGGGTGGGGGTGGGGGTGGGGGTGGGGGTGGGGGTATCGATAGAGAGAAAGAGAGGGGACTGCAAAGGCGCGCTTGCAGCTTGTTTTCTAACGGCTCGAAGAAGAGAATTATATATATAGATAGATATTCAACCGAGTTTACTTTCCCTAACGTAAGTTAGGAACCCTTAGTAGTCAGAAACCTTCTATTGATTTGGACCCGGATTCGAACTCTGAACTTTTCAGTTTAGCAACCATGAGCTTTAACACCCCACAAAGCGATCCCCTTCATTCATCACTATATAAGTTCATATTGATTTGGTTTGAATATTTGGCAGTGGTACAGTTGTCTCTTTACTAAATAAAAATTGCTTGTTTATAGAAGGGGAGTGGTACTTTGGCTTATAGATGGTTTGAATTCGACAGAGGTGGGCGGGTCTGAACTAGTATAAAGAAATAACCATTGGAAATATTTGAGTGGAAATTCATACTAGACCGGTATATACAGACGAGAAAAATGGCCCGTTGAGGAAGGATACAACGGGCGCTAGGTTGATAGTGCTGTCTCTTTTCTCTAAACTAAAGCCAAAACCAAAATCACCACCTAAATAAAATTTAACCGGAAACGAAAAATGACATTGAAAACGGATTTTTATCCAAAATCGTCATTTTTATGTCTATAATGTAAACTCGTTACATCGTTTCCTACTTTTGGCCGATAAACCTCACTCGCGCAGACAGTGTTTCTTTCAGATATTTTTCTGGGGGTGGGCACTTGAACTTTTGCAGAAGCGAATAAAATTACCCGAGGCGGGGGAGGACGACACTGGTAAAAGTAAAATATATTTTCTATATCAATTATATTTCTTTTTTTTAGGCGGAGGGATTAGACGTTATACCGTGGCGGGGGGGGGGGGGGTAAATGGGCTTCGCCCCTACCTGAAGAGATGCATGAAAGAAACTCGGCAAGCAAACCACTTTCTAGATTAGACACATGAATTAGGCTGTAATTTTGTTATAGAGTATCGATGACGACATTTCTTTTGAGTTGGGGGAGGGGGGGCGGCTTAGAAGTTCTTACGCGGGGAATGGGCTTCGCCCCTACCCGAAGAATTGTATGAAAGAAACTCTTCACGCAAACCACTTTTAAGCTTAGATAAAATTGGCTTTTTAATTCAATGTTTAGTCGAGAATCAATGACGTCATATTACTGTGTTCACTCTCCGGCTGTAGACTTGTTTCTACTATATATGTGACGTTATATTTCGTTTCCGTTTTACTATGAAAGTTTTTATTTTGCTTGTGTTTTCTCTATAGCGTTCTTGTCAGATACATAGATAGATAGATACATAGACAGACAGCAAAACTATTAGTAAAGACGAGAAAAATGGCCCGTCGAGGAAGGATACAACGGACGCTAGGTTGATAGTGCTGTCTATTTTCTCTAAACTAAAATCAACCCCCCCCCCCCACACACACACACACACACCCCAAAACATGTCTACCGTCCCATTCAACGAAATATAATTATATACTTTTTCCAGTGTCCGCCCCCTCCCCGAAAATTCTACCCCCGCCCCCGAAAATTTCAAGTACCCCACCCCTCTCCGGGGAGGAAAAAATCTGAAAGAAACACTGGTCGCATTTTTAGATCATACAAACTAAAGGAAGAACCTGGAAGCCTAAATAGCTGAGATGATAGTGAACGTAATACCACGCAGGTGGTGTGGGATCGAGACACACCAAGTCAAGCTAATTATTTTTTTTTATATGTGAATCTTCCGGTTTTTGACTATATAGAAAGGAACTACTGCATTCAAATTTGATTTAGATCTAGATCTATAAATCTACTCATCGCTATGAAAAATATACAATTTTATAGGTCAAACTAATGCAAATTAGGCTACTTAAAAACAACATAATGACCTTTGAATAGCCAGATTTTTAACAGAATCATTTAAGTCACTTAATCGGTGTGTGCCTGTGTTATGTTAAATGTGTCGGTTTTTTAGCTAGTTAGTTATTTCTTTGCTTTGTCACTAATATCGGTCAGCGTGTAGTAAAGCACATTGCGTTTTGACCAATAACTATTTCATCAGGGGCGGAACTACAGTGCCGCCAGACCCCGCAATGCGGGGGGGGGGGGGGGGGGCCACGCCATTTAGGGGCCCACAGCCGACCATAATATTTTTTTTATAGTTACATTTTTTTTAATTTTCTTGCATTTTTGACATGATTGTTGTTTTGTAAAAAAGATCACCGTAGCTGCGGTTGGATTATCTTTATTCTATAGACACCACCCCACGCTCTTGTATATTCTTTTTCCCTTTGTTTTTAAACCATTGTGAAAGCCGAGTCCTCTTTCTCCTACAATCAAACGTATCAAAGATAGCGGACTTTCAAACCACTTCCATGACTTATTTCCCTTTTTTGAATAGTAAAATAGGGGTGATCAAAAGCTCCTTTTAATAGATTTGTACTAAACATATTAAAAAGCGATTACTTCTCTTAATTATTTTAAAAAAAAAGTACTTTCTAAGGAATAAAATTGAATCAAAAGGAAAAGTATTTAAAATGAATAATATAAATACAAAGATAAAAATAAACATAGCACGAGACACCATTACTTATACAAAGCTTTCATGGTTTATATTCTTTTGACCGATTGGAGGATTTTGCGGTCTTAAAGCAGATTCAATATAAGACTTATTTTCTCTAAACACACTAATGCACCTACTCACATGACATGATGTTGTAAATTGTTTTAATTGAATAAAAAAACTTTTCTTTCATAACCCGAACAGGCCAGCAATGAGTATCCTACCTATGTTCGTATTTTGTTTATATATATATATATATATATATATATATATATATATATATATATATATATATATATATATATATATATATATATATATATATATATATATATATATATATATATATATATATATATATATAGGGGGGTAATTCCATACACTACTTTTCTAAAAAATTTGTAAAAAATCTAAAATCAACACTACCACAATATAATATTGAGGGTAAAACTAGACATGCATTACTTATATGATGGCAAACAAATATAAAGATAATTTACAAAATACAATACAATTTTTAAATATTTCACTTTTATTGCAAAAACATGGCAAGTGGGGCAATTCCACACACATTATGAAAATTTAAAATTCATGTATTTAAAAATGTGTAAAAAACATTTTTCCCCATGGAAACAATTTAGCATGGGGGCAACCAGTCTTCATCACTGGGTGAAGAGAAAGCCTCAATTTCGTCCTCCTGAATTCTACTCTCATCTGTCATAGGCCGAAGTTATTCGTTTATAATTGTGAACCATTCTGAAATAAATACAAAATTAAATGTTAGAAAGTCTAATTACTAATGTGTGTATGGGGATGTTTAGCTCTAAATATTGCATAAATTATAATAAATATTATAGGTACAGTAAAAATAATAATAGATAAAGAAATAAAAGAAGTATGTGGCAATTTTACTTAACTTTAATAGTAGAGTCTTTTTAAAAAATAAAAAGTACTAGATCTAGTACTATTCAAGTATTTTTTAAGATTGAATCATGAGTTGTGAATTACAGAATTAGCCACAACCATTTGAAATGGTTTAAAATAAAAGCTAAATCTACTAAAGAGTATAAAAAGCAACATGGGACATTCCAAACTATAGTGTATGGAATTGCCCCACACCATGTGTGTGGAATTGCCCCACACCTACTATTGAAAAAAATATGCTTTCCTGTTCTAAATTAAAGGCTGAATCTAGCATCATTAACTGTTACTATTAACAAAAATGATTAAGCTTTCATATAATCAATAAATAATTGACAACAATTAAAAATAAGACAAAAAAAAATATTTTAAAAAAAGTGCAGGGGTTGTACTTACCTAAGGATGTTTGAAGATAGATGCAGATAAAATTAAAATTCTTGCTCTGAATGTAGGTGAACGCTTCTCTAACAGTATCAGAAAGTACAAGAAATGACCTCTTAGAAACAGGGAATAGTAACTTTTAATTAAACTTTACTCTCATTAAAAATAGAGAGTATCCAGTATATAGAGTGTGGAATTACCCCGTGTGTGGAATTACCCCACCTTACCCTATATATATATATATATATATATATATATATATATATATATATATATATATATATATATATATATATATATATATATATATATATATATATATATATATATATATATATATATATATATATATATATATATATATATATATATATGGGGGTGGGGCCTAAAAAAATTTTTTGCGGGGTGGCCCTTTTTTTCTAGTTCCGCCACTGTATTTCATAAATTATTTTTCTCAAATAGGTACAACATTTTAAAATATATAGATCTAGGCCTATAATTCACGTGAAACGGGTACACGTTTTTTTTTTCACAAATTATTTTCTAGGCTACAGTTTAATTTTGATAATTAAAATTAGTAACAAATTAAAGGTACATAAATGTAGTTTTTAGTTGTTTTTAATTCATCTTCAACAAATGAAGTTTAAAATCTTAGGCGCCACCTTACTTAGGCCTAAAAATGTGCGTGTTTTTAATCAATCTTGGATGATCTTTTGTTTCTTGAAAACAAAAAAAAAATACTCCATCTCTGTAGAATACTGTAAATCTAGAAATCTAAAATCAACCACTTTCTGTAATTTCAACGACGTTAATTATTAGAATAGTTTTTTTTAGATCTAGATCTAACAATCTACTCTACATTGTCCTATTTTTTAGAATTCTAGATAAGATTGTTTGTTGGTTTCACATCACAGTGCAGAAAAATGGTGGTAAGCGAGTAAAATGATTTTTTTACTGTCTTAATTTCTTAAACTACTCAGTCTTAAACTTTAAAAAATTAATGATTCTTAGATTTTCTAATTATAATAATTAATTTCTTAGAATACTTTACACTTTACTTACTATATCTATATCTAATATATAGTATTATATAGTCTAGACTCTAGATTTTTGAAAAATGGCGTCAACTTGTTTACTTCCGGAATTGATGTCAACTTTCTTTCATAGTTTTTAGTGTTTTTATTCACTATTTAATCCAAAAAAATCTAAGGGAAGTACTACTCATCCATTAGGGTTGAGAATGTAGTTTAGTACTAATTTACTAGCCGGTTCTTATTGTGATATTTTAAGTTTTTATTTTATTGTCTCATCCATTGTTAAAATGTAAACCGGATATCTATATTCTTAGTTGTTGTAGATCTACTGATGATTCGTTTTCTTTTTCATCTATTTCTACTGATGTCAGCATGATATTTTAATTTTACTGGTGAGTGAAAATGTTAGGGACTGGTGTGGTCACCAGAAGCAGCAGAGCTAAGAAGTATCGTTTAAATAAAGAAAAAGCGATATCAAAAAAGATTGCTAACATTTGTGCAGCGGATGATATTCATTTTCAAAAGAAAGATGGAGGACAATGCGTTATCATTGCCTTTATAAACTCAATTAGCTATGAAAAAGTAAAAAGAATCTTCAAAACAAAATATGCTGATGTTGTTGAGGAAAGAAGCGATGATGATGGCGCCAATGTTGAAGATAATTATAAATTACCAGGGCTGTCTGTCCATCTGTACCACACGAATAACAAAATTATGGTACAGGGAAAATCTAACGTTGTGTCTGTTTGGGTGGATTCGGAATTTTGCTGTATTCTAAATAACCTAATTACAACAGACAAAGCTGTCGACATGCCTCTACCCATGTCGCCGCCACTATCACTGTCACCACCACCTTCACTGTCCCCACCCAGAGTATTGGAGCTACCCATTTCACCGCCCATGATTATGTCCGCTTCCTACAGTGACAATCAATGTGCAGAGGATACGATCAATACCAATCCGTTAGATTGTGTAACACCCATAAATAACTATACATTTTCATCAAACCTATCTCAACCAACTGATTTGCTTAGTCCAAATATATCATTTCTTCAAACCACACAACTGGATAATAACTTAAGATCGTTTATTCTTAACGAGATCACCTGTGTTAAAAAAGCTTTTAAAGCGGAGAAATTGCAGTTTAACAGCCAACTAGAACAACTCCGAGTCGAAAACGCTGTCTTAAGGGACGAAGTCAAGAGACTATCTAATGAAGTGCATAGCTGCAAAGATATACACGTTAACCTTAAGAAGCGTTTGATTGATCAAGAAAATATTTCTGCGTCACTAAAGAAACTCCTCACAACCAAGAAACCCTCTTGCAGCACAATATCCACCTCAACATGTGAGGATATTCAACAACTAATAAATGAAACAAAAATCACATCGGCAGGCATCATGCAAGAAGCTCCGTTCCCAATCCCTGTTAAAATTACACAACGTGATGACAGAGCGCGAATCAAACCATCGGAACATTCGAGTCCCAGCACCCTGCAACGACCACGAACTAAAAGCAATTCTACACAATACAGCGTTCCAACGGTCAAGGCTGTTCATGTCCCTGTTGTCCAACGCTCTACTCACTATGCCACTAATAGAGATAGCACACAACATGTCGCCGCCCCCTACACCAACCTAACAACGAAACACCATTTGATCCTTGGTGACTCTACACTTAAAGGTCTCCATCCTGATATAATGGCCACGGATCATTACGAGCGTGTATCGGTAATAGCGCTGCCTGGGGCAAATTTTGAAAAAATTAGGGACGTTATTAGTAGCCGATCACGTGACTCTAATACCACAAATGTAACCTTACATTGTGGTGTCAACGACAGTCTATCAAACGTCAGACTGTCACAAGCTAATATGCTAGAAATTGTGAGAAGTATCACTCACAAATTTCCCAACGCAACAATCCGATTTTCATCCATCGTACCCCCATGTCGGGGCAAGGGGAGGCACTTGATAGATATAAATAATAGATTTTTACAGTCTTTCTGCATTAGTTATAAATACTGTTTTATAAACAATACACCTTTTTTCACTGCGAAGTCAGGTGCCCCGAGACAACGCTTGTACAGTGACAGTATTCATTTGACTAAAATTGGAAGCAGCATTCTCGCTAAAAACATAAAGTATCCCCAAAGAGCCGTCAGCATAACAGATAAAGATCATGTGCAACTTTCAAACGTAAAAGGTACAAGGTCTGATTTGGTTTCGACTGTTGATTTGCTTCCAACAATATCTTCAGATCAATTGAACTCTAGCCCAGGCTTACATCACTTAATGGGCTTTAGCCCTTTGTTGCTTCATCAAGCTCTAATGTTGTCGCTTAAGCGCCTTCCTGGAACCTAACTTTTTTCACTTACTATTTACTAGTTTAGCTCACTGTACTATTTTAATTATAATACATACTGATACTATTGTACATTAATATAGCAATATTTATATATATATATGTATATATTTATATATATATTTATATATAGGTATTTATTTTGATAGAGAGAGAGAGAGAGAGTGAGAGAGAGAAAGAGAGAGAAAGAGAGATAATAAGGCAGTGTGAAGAGCAGCGAGTGTTTGTTTATTGGATGACAAAGCGTGTAATTGTAAGACAATTATATTGATTCTGTTTAATTAGTTCATTATATTGATTTTTGTTTATAACATCTCTTATTCATTGATATTTTATTATCTTTATGCATTGTCTATTTTCATCATCCTGGCCCTCACAAAGTGGGCTAAAATTGGGCCATTTAAATATTTTCCACATATTTAATAAACACCATGAAGTTCTAAAAATTTTAAACAATTCCAACAATCCTTTCCATATCTTTGGTTTCTCTGAAACTCGATTACAATCTTTTATAAATGATGTTGAGATATCCGTCTCTGATTATAACCTAATACGCCGAGACCCATCCTTACACAAAGAAACTGGCCTTTGTGTCTATGTCCACTCCTCAATTCGTTTCAAGTACAGGAAGGATCTGTCAACGGACAATATAGAATGTATTTGGATTGAACTCGAAAAAAGCAAACACCATCCGGCAATTTTAATTTGCTTCCTTTATAGAAATCCCTGTGAAAACATGGATTGGTATGATCGTTTTTGCTCCATGATGGATACCGTTTTATCTACTAACAATGAATATATCATATTGGGAGATTTTAATATAAATTTATTAAAACCTCAAGAATATTGGCAAGATATTATTGATTCTTTGAATCTAAAACAATTTGTGCACACGGCTACCAGGGTAAATGATAAATCAAGTACAATAATTGACCACATATACGCATCACCTGACTGCAACCTAATAGAGGTCTGTGTCCCCTCTTGTGGTGTTAGTGACCACTTCCCTGTTTGTTGTACGTTTTCGACAAAAAGATTATGTGTACCTTTGCGGCAACACATAACTATAAGTTATCGCTCTTTTAGAAAATTTAATGAAAATCTTTTTCTTTCGGATTTATTGGCTGCCCCCTTCTGCAATGTATACAATTATAATTGTCCCGATCTTGCCATTTCTGAATGGCTGCGTATTTTCTATACTATATATGACAAACATATTCCTAAAATCTCTAAAAGGGTTAAGACTACATACAAACCTTCTTGGTTTAACAACAATATCGAATCTGCAATTAATAAAAGAGACTGGCTTAAACGTTATGGAACTTCTGAGGACTTCTGTAGGCAGCGAAATTATGTCAAACTGCTCGTGCGTAGGTCGAAGAAGGAGTATTTTAATAAGCTGCTGTCAGGCAAACCTAATTCCAAATCTATCTGGACTGCTATAAATCAAATAATTAGAAAAAAACGCACATGTAATACAGCTGGACATTGCCAGATATCTGCTGATGACTAACAATCATTTTATATCATCTGTAGCGCTCAACACAGATGCTGATTACACAATCAGTGAGGAGCTTAAACATTTTTGTAATTCTGCTCACCGTGGTAGGACAGAGCTGATCATTCCGCTTCTCACTGTTCTTGAAGTATATGTTAGCCTAAAATCTCTTAAACCGTCTTCAACAACTTCGTTTGATGATATTTCTAATAATGTATTGAAGATTTCAGCTCCAATAATTTCCGAAGTTTTAACCTATGTCTATAACCTCTGTATTGCCAAGCATTATTACCCGACACATTTTAAGCATGCTAAGGTTATACCACTACACAAAAAAGGTAACATCCAAGATGCTAATAACTACAGGCCAATTTCTATACTTTCTTCCCTCTCCAAGCCACTAGAAATACATATAAACAAATGCATTTCAAATTACCTAGAAAAGCTCAAGCTTTTCCATAGTAATCAGTCTGGGTTTAGAAAGTTTCATTCTTGTCACACTGCTCTGATTAAGATGAATGAAAACTGGCTTAAAAATATTAACAAAAACCTACTCTGTGGCTCGCTGTTTGTCGATTTCAGAAAAGCATTTGATTCTATTGATCACACCATACTTCTTAAAAAACTAATTCCATACAAATTCCACGACTTTACAGTTAGGTTACTTCACTCCTTTTTATCTAACCGATCTCAACGCGTGTTTCACCTCAATACCATCTCTTCACAGAAATATGTTAATATAGGGGTTCCACAGGGCTCAATCTTAGGTCCTTTACTTTTTTCTTTATACATTAATGATCTTCCATTTCATATTGACGCTGGTCAGTGCGAGATGTTCGCTGATGATACTTCTTTGCATGTCTTTGCAGACAGTGCTGAGTCACTCAGTTACAAACTTCAAACATGTGCCAATCAGCTTGCTACTTGGACAAAATTTAACAAAATGAAACTTCACCCCGATAAAACCAAGTCAATGTTTATTACAACTCATTAGAAACGCCTTCGTCTTCCATCCACCGCATTAAACATTACTATAGACAATTCAAACATTGAACAGGTAGACAGTTACAAATGCCTAGGATTGTTTATAGATCACAACCTCACTTGGTCTGACCATATTCATTTTCTAAGAATGTCCTTATTAAAGACAACCTTTCAATTGGCAAGGATAAAGAACTTTCTCAACTATAGGAGCAGGCTGGTTTTTTATGAGGCTTTTATTCAATCCAGGTTGGATTATGCTTCTGTAGTGTGGAGCGGCAGCTTTATATCTAAGCAGCGTCCTCTTCTTTCTTTACAAAAAAGGGCTATAAAACTGGTTACTGGCTTGTCTAGTAGTCTGGATTCTTTTCTTACTACTAAAATACTTCCATTAAATAAAAAGATAATATATACTAAATCAATTTTCTTATATAAAATATTCCACGAAACAGCCCCCTCTTACTTATCAGATCTATTTTCTTTTAACATAAAATTAAATCGTCGTCTTAATTTACCATTCCCTTATTCAACCTTTTTCCAAAAACATAGCTTCGCCTACTCTGGTTCTAATTTGTGGAACAATCTTCCTAATAAAATAAAGCTATCTAGATCTGAAAATATATTCAAATCTAAACTAAAACTAAAATTATTTAATGACCTAACTGACTCATTGTAACATTTCTCATTCATCTATTATATTCTCTTTTTTATCTCATTATGTATGATAGCTATGTACCATTGTTTCTTTATTCCACGTTTTCAGTGTGCTATGTGTTACTGCTATGTGTTATTGAATTGCTTTATTTGTTTAAACGGCCAATGTGAAAAAAGGCCTTTGAGCCTACAATTGTAACCGTTGTTTGAATAAATTTGAAATTTGAAAAAAAAAAAAATCTATCTAGATCTAGATCTAGTACTAGATCTAGTAGTAGATCTAGCAAGCTAGCTAGATCTAATGATCTAATCTAGATCTAGAACATTTAACAAGTTCTTTCTAGATCTAGAATCTAGTAAAATGTTGTCTAAGACAGTCTAAGACTAAGTTAAAAAAAAAAAGTTGGGAGAATTTTTATACCGGTGTCCGATAATGGAATCTTCTTGAAAAAAGGGTCTATAGGTTACTGGTAGTTAACTAAATACGCATATGGCTGGCTAATGTCAGTGCTAACCCTAACCCCAACCCTAGTCCTACCAACCCTAATTTCTAACCATAAAATTAGTCGAGATTACAATACTACTAACAACCCAACACACTTATTTTATGGAAGAGTCTATTATCGGACATCATCCAGTTCGTCTATTCATTATATAGAAAAAGATTAGCCAAACCTTAGGCCTATTTTTTTTTTTTTTTTTTTTTTTTGTTAAATCATGCTTTTTTTAAGGTCAATTTTCTCAAAAAATGGCATCTTCAAAAGCATTAGATTTATTAAACCTGACAGGTACAATTAAACGTCCTGCTCATAGTAAAAAGCCATTTTAAGACTAGTTTTTAATAGAGCCTAAAAAAATCTAGTGAACGGTTGAAATTTTAACAACAACAAGAATCTACATGAAATAGGAAAAAAAAATACTGAAATTTTCTTGGTACTTGACCACAGTGTCAGTAGACCAGCTAAGTCTCCGATCAGGAACTTGATGGAGGCATATTGCAGGCAAGCATATTTTGATATATATGTACTTGGTAATATATCATCACTCAGTTGAGTCCATTTGACTGAGGTCTTCTTTGCAGCAGACTGGTTGGCAAAGTACTGTTCTATGTACACATTTCGTTAAGTGACAAAGTCATCTATGCATGCGTTGGACACAAATAATTTGATATTGTCCAATGGTAGACCATGGGACGAAGTGGTTGGCTGATAGAGTATTTGACAGCTAGTTCGAAGGTCATGAGTTTGGATCCTGGTTCAGTCTTGTGACTGTAAGAAGTCTCTTGAGTCCACCCAAATCTGATGGGTACCTGACTCATGTTGGGAAATTAAAGGCCGCTGGGCACAGTGCTGACCACACCATCCCTTCATATGCAGAGGTCGAGAAACATGAACTCTACCTCATCTGTACAATGGATCGCTGGGTCTAAAGAGTAATCTTTACTTAATTGGTAGACAGTTAGCAGGAATAACAAGTATAGCATTCCTTCAACTGCAGTAAACAAGCCCTTTTTGTCAGTCACATCAGTCAACTGATATCTCCATTCTGATTCCATGTCAGTTTCATCAATGGAAGGAGTCATCGCTGTTAATATCAGATTCTTCTTCATCTATATCCATCTCTTAATTGTTGATTTCCATCAAATAATGCCTGAAAAAACTTGTAAGCCATGTTATTGCAACAATAAAAATCACACAAATATCTCTTAAAACACATTTTGAAAATGAACGACACATGATGAAAGCACCATTTTTTTTTATTTCTTCAGGAGTTTTATGCGATAATTAGGCTTTCAGGCAGTGACATCATCCATTTAGCGAGAACACCTGTTTCAGCCTTAGGAAGGTTTGTATTTGAAACCAATTTTTTCTTTAGTATTTATAGATGTAAATGTGTAATGTATTTTGACACACTTTATTAATTTATTGATGTGTTCTTGGTACATTTAGCTACGAGGATGAAAAGTGTATCATTACCAGCAACATTACCAGCAAACCCTGTATTCTAAGCTTTGATGACAAAGGCCAAGTAAGTATTTTACTGATATTTACAAGGGTGCAATTTTTCTGAGGAATTCCCGTTTCCAGAATCTTTTTTCTTCACTTTCTGGATTAGCAAAATCTGAGTTTTAAAAATCCCAGATTTGCTGTTTTTCTTTTCAAACTTTAAAATTTTCACAATTTTAGATATTCCTTTTATTATTTCTGTTTCCTTAGCTGACACATACTTTGTAACATTGCCTTTACTTATAGTCCTTCTTTTTAAGCTAAAAATTATAATACAGTTGTAGTTATGTAAGATACTGTGATGAAATTTTGCATATTGATGCTAGAATGTGTAGATCCTCTAATAATTATAAATGTGTCTGACAATTTCCCAACATCACGCAGACATCTTGGTCGCTGCAACACATATTTTTTTTCTAGGCCTGTGTGGTCTGTTCTAAATAATATTTATTAATAATTTGATAGCTGATGTTATGTATTCCTATTTTGAGAAAAAAATAGCCTTCATCATTTAAACATTCTGCAGGGATATTTAAAGAGAATGGGAGAAGCTGCTGTCAGCATAAATGGCCTGGCCCTTGTTATGGATAAATGGCAAGAAGTAAAGCATGGAGATATAATACATGTTATGGGACAGAAGCTGTTTTTCTATTACCCAAAAAACAGTGATTTTAACACTCAGACAAACAAAAGAAATGAACTGGAACTGCCACCGCCCAATTTCTTTAAGGTAATTTTTACAATTTGTTATTGAAAAATAGCACTGATTGGCAATGTGTTTTTTAATTTGACCTCAGCTATTTTTTCCCACAACTGCTAAATTTGTTCATAAAACAATCTGGAAAAGACTTCTACAGAAACGTCTGACATCCTCATTTTACACAAATGCTAGGTCTGACGACACTAGATAACAATTCAGTGAGAATTTCTTTCTGATATTTTCAGTTAATTAATACTCATCTTGACTCTGAGTTTGTGTTTGGTCCTGCTGGTGTAGGTAAAAACAACGGACAATCTCATATAGGACATATAGCCATATTCCGGCTATGACGATTCTATGGTCCTCCTGATTTCAAAACCAAGGTGAACTCACCGTGACCCCTCAACCAAGTCTTTTTTTTTGTGAGCAGAGGGGGAAAAATGAGATTGCAACAATTTATTGTGATGCTGTTTTTAATGTGATAAAACCTTGAGTCAGTGTAGTGTTGTGGTTGCTGTGAGAGGGCTTCACCTTTCCAAACCATTATTAATCACAGCTGGTGTTCCACTACCAATATCCCTTCTCATAGGTTATCACTTAGTCACAGACAAGGTTAATACACTTGAGAGAATACTTATTACTTTCTATTTCAAGTTTAATTCGAACGAATAACATTGTGAGTTCAGTATACGAGTGGGACTGGTCATTGACAGGACACTGATTACCTCTGACATCGAAAGCATAACCCATACTCATTGACAGGACATATCAGCAGCATAACCTGAACTCACTTATTCAATACCCAGCCCCTAACTCACTAGCTTTCATTCTATTACAACAACATTCTTTCTAACTTCTACGTAACTATCTCCTTATGTGTGTCACATCTTCATCTGTTCAACATACACCCGCAACAACATTCATTCACACCAATTTATGCTCAGAGAACACACATCATAACTCACGTTACTATCTTTTTATGTGCATCATATTTTCATTAGTTCACTTTCACCCACACCAACATTCATTCGCATTACATTTAAATTAAGAGGAACCATGATGGTGGCGATTTCTTTAAGATGAACAAGATATATACAAGTCTCTGTTCATGGACAATACAAGCATTATTTTATACATTTTATTTAGACCTAGTCTACCTCTAGACTTCACAGTGAGGTAATGGTCAGAGATGCATTTATCCACCTGCACCAACATTCATTCTCACCAATGTATGCATCATAACAGTCTGGTTTTTAAAAAAATCTTGTTTTTCATGGCTTAATCATATTCTATCTTTTTCTGTTGTTTATAAGGAAAAACATTATTAGAAGTTGAAGCAACTAATAATCTATATCTGATCAGGTTGATGGACGACCATCTTTGGTTAAGCAATCTCTTATGGAAGTTGCTCTTTCATATAACCTTGAAGAGCTTGAAAGTAACAGTGATGACAGTGATGACAGTGATGACAGTGAAGATATGGAGGTAATTTTTTGAGTCTCAATACATCACAATACATATCTGCTGTCCCATTATAGAGTGCAATTGTTCCACTAATTATTTAATGTAAAGTCTTCAGTCAAGTCATCACTTTTTTTTAAGTTTCAATTACATTTAAAAAAAAAATTATTAAATGCTAGTTTTAAATGTTTTGTTAAAATTTATGTAATGAAATTAATGATAAGGCGGTATAAACATTTATTACATCTTTCACATCAAATTATGAATTAACAAATTCAAAATGGCCACAAGATAATTTCTGTGACTGGGTGGGTTCAATTAACTGGGAAAGATCATGCAGTTATAAAAACTATGTTGTAACTGTGTATGCATGAGCTTGTAAAGAAGACTATAAAATCCTAAATAGTTTAGATTATTGCAGCATCAACTCCTGTTAAATCAAAGCTAAGATGAAGCTGAAGTTTTTGTTTTGAAATTAAGAATTTTTCAACATCTTAAATTAAACAATCACGAGCCGACCCGCGATGTATCATACGGCGCTATTTAGTTGTTGTTTTTTCTACTTCTCAGTAATTCATAATTTGTGAATTCGACAGTACCAATGCTGCCACTGAAAATATTTGCTTTAAAACACTCCCCCCCCCCCCCCCCGTGAAAGCAGCCTCTTCTTAGTTACCTCCTCTAAGTTTAAAATAGTTTCAAACTAAATTATCTGCCCCTAATAGCCGTCACTAAACCCGGCTCTACGATTGTAAAATGTAAACATTTAGCGTGAACCACAGCTCACCAGACCATGTGAGGGGGGGGGGGGTAGCGATAGAGAGGAAGAGAGGGGTCTGCAAGGCGCGCTTTGCAGCTTGTTTTCTAACGTCTCCCTGAAGAGAATTATATATATAGATAGATAGGAAATTTGTTTGTATTCTTTTGTCTCTTTTTATACAGCTGAAACAACAGTCTCAAGAGATTTACTTTTGCCTTTTTTTTGTTCTTCTTATCTATTCTTAATTGTAATGTTGGAAGGAGTTCCCTCTACCACCGCGTTTACACTTATGACATGTATACTAGACTTGACCTACTAAAGTGTATACTAAACATGTTACGGGTATATAGAACATCTTCTGAGTCGCAGGGCACAAAACCACGCCCCTTTTTATGTTCTGGGTCAAGTTTTTGTCATCGCTCGCTGAGCGAAAACATAGGGCATGTTCTGAATTTTCAGATGAGTGCGCATGCGTCAAAAGTAGTAATCGCATCATAGGTCTCAGCTGATTGCAAAATTAAATATAGATTCTACTTATTTAGAGTTTTTGAGCACACGATTTCATAATTTATAATTTCTCTAGGCCCTGCTAAAATTTACATTTCTATAATCACTTATTATGTCTTTAATTAAATTCCAAACACGTTTTAATGAATGTCTAAGGCATTACAATTTTGCCTCAAAACCAGTTTAGGTATTAATTACGAAAATATTAATTAATTAAAAAATATAATTGAACCAAATTTATACCAAATTTTTCCTTGACCAACATATTTTTAGTTTCCGTCTGACATGAATAAATCTATAGGCCCACCAGAATGTGCTCGTGTGATCACACATAATCAACTGACTAAAAAAACAGGCAGATAAAAAAGTCATAGGCTAATTATTTAGGTTTAAAATGGGACATAATTAACATAAAGAAACGAAGTGGGGGGGGGGGGGGAAATGTCATAGGCCCTTGGAGTCGTCCATAAATGACGTCACACTCGTAGGGGGGGGGGAGGAGGGGTCCGTAATTTTGTGACGGTTTGTGATGAGGAGGGGGATGGGGGGGGGGGGGGGTTATGATGGTGCGACGTCACACTTTTGCATTATCAAAGAGCAATGTTGGAAAAAGAATTTTAGACGTTATTTTGCGTTTTAGATAACTGTTTTAATAAATTATAATAGGAATTGATTAAAATACTCTATTTTGACAAGATTTTGGAAAAATATCGATGTTTAAAAACTGCAATTTTGAGGGGGGTTGTAGGCTGAGGTGTGACGTCATTTTAGGGGGGGGGGGTCTGGCTTTTTGTGACGGAGGGGAGGGGGGAGGTAAAAATCGTCAAAAAAAGTGTGACGTCATTTATGGATGACCCCCTACTCTAAAAACTAGATCTACTTTTTTTATAATAGACTCAGTATAGTGATAACACAATCACAATACGTTTAATGAACTTGGCAGATGCAAGTTTTCGGAGAAATGGGGCCTTTCAGCAAACAAATATTTAGCCCTGTTTATTGGAAGCTGTTTCTGAAGGATAGAGACTAGCAATTAAAGAAGCTGGGGAAATTGCTACCATGGGGTTGGGGTGGGAAAGGGTGATTGTACTGCGGGATGGGAGCGAGGGGTAATAACAGGTGGGTAATGTCTACGACCCGTGGTATTATACACAGCATTATATTTATAAAAACTGTCTAGCTCCAGTAGCTGGCATAAAATTTATAAAATCTTGCATGTTCTCTAATTTTTAGATAATTCATTGTTGAATCGCAAGCGCCGTGGCTACACCATTTTCCTTTTTAAAAAAATAAAGCTGTGTGCCCACTATCTACGTCTTTTTTTTTACTTTGTTTTCTCTTTATTTTAATTATCTGGGCCTATATAGCAGACGCTCCGGGTCAAAGGCCATGCTTGTTGTATAACATGTTTTTTTAGTGTGAACGCTAAAGTATACATGTTCTGTGGAGAAAATTGTTCCGGATAAAAATAACTTTTGGCGGGCTTTGTGTTTTGGAAATGTATAGTATACATGTCATAAGTGTAAATGCGGTATATGCAGGTGCGACTTTTCTGAAATATTCCAGATTTGAGAATGATATTTTAATCATGTTTCCAGATTAGTAAAATTTTAGTTTTAGAACTTCCAGATTCGCAGTTTTTAAAAACTCAAGACCGTTTAAGCTTAAAAATTTACCATTCTAAAAATTGTTTTTTAATATCAACATTCAGAGCATTTTTGCTACTTATGCTGCTTTTGCACATGCATAGTTGGTATAGTACAATATTAACTGCTATGTGAGACCAAAATTAATCAGTGCGTCAAGTCAATTATTGCACTTTTACTTTCATTTTCTTTTGAGTGCAAAAGTCTTTCTCTAAATAGACTAAGTTTTAGCATATGTAATTTGTTATACAATGACTCTGTATTTATCATTTTAGCATTTATTTATCAATCTGAAATAAAAACGTGGCTGTAGATGTTAAAATTTTATAATTTGAAATGACTAAAAAAAACACTAGAAAAAATTTGAATATCTTTTCCTTTTCAATGTTTAAGTCTAGATTCTAGACCAACTTAGGTCTCCAGTTTCATAATTTTCAGCTGCTGAGATTGCGTGAGCTATAAAAGTGAACAATACTTTAGATACATTCTGAGTAACTTTCATTTACAAAACCAAAAAACTTGCCTTTTCTGGGATTTGTAATTGTTAGCGGTAGATCTGAATAAAATGTATTAAATAATACTAGACTGCACGCTAAGCAGTCTTGTTTACTATTTAGAATTTGCTCATATTATAAGGATAACTAATAACCTGTAATTTAACTTTGCGTGTAACTCAGAGAAAAAAAAACATTTCTTAATGCCAGTGTTTACTGCGTCTATGAAGAAAATTAATGACGTCACCTACGATCACAAATGTGCTAAGAGCAAATACGACTGCAAGCATAAGCATTTCTCCTGAAATGATTTCTTAGTGAAATAACACGTTTCTGAAATTCTGTGACATGAACTTATCAACCTCTACAATATTTTGTTTACGCCATCGCATATCTCAAGGAGGAGTGGGGGGGGGGGGGGCATTTGTAAATTAAGAGAAAATAGGATTTTAGAATTGTGTTGTCTCTGTTAATAAATAAAAGCCATGTAAAACTACAGTAGGCCACCCAGTGTGTAATACAGCGACAATTTTTGGTTGGGGGTTGTGCATATAGTAGGCCGATTATTAAATGACAAGACGTTGGGGTTTGCAAAATATTTAGTATTTAACAGTTGGCTGACTAAGCCCTTTGATTAACTGTAAAGGAAGTGCTAGAAGTTAACAATGTCTGGGTATGTTATAAAAGCAGTGTCTATTTCTAAATTTTATTACATGCATCTCAGTTACCCCCACCTATACTACGAGACACCTGCTGCTAAGCAAGCTCTAAGTCTAAGAAAACAGCTAGAAAATACATTGTTGCAGATACCCCGCCAAAACCTAAACCACCAGAAATTAACTTTATATCTTTCTTAACATGTCCTGACTTATCTTATTACTTGTCCTCTTGTAGCAATACCCCACAACCCCAAGATTCTGCCCCAGCTGTAGCAAATATTAGACCAAGTACTGAACAGCTTAGACATCATCATAACTACCTTCAGGCACAGCAAGTTCATCTTAGAGGAGGACAGCTCTTTTGTCTTCAGCTTTCTCACGTGCTCCTTTTTTGTGCAATATCCCTTTTGCCAAGCAACAAGATATTCAGCGGCAGTTTCTGCTAGATATGATACCTAGAGCTAATATGCCTTGGAAGTAGTAGAGCTTTTGGAGATGCACAGCTGCTTAAGTACTGATTAAAATTGATTTATTTCTGTCTCTGTAAAAATGTTGGAAATTTGTTTTGGTTATAGTTATTTATAACATGTTAGCTTGATAATATTGTTTTTTTATTACAATTTATTTTTATCTCATTAAATAAAAGAAAAATCTCTTCAGTTTGATTATAAATAACTTTATAGATAATACAATTAATCTAACATGTTTCTGAATTGTGTTTGTACATTAACTAATTTAGATTTTTCACAAAAATATTTCTACTCTCATGGTATGCATATTTTCTGTTTAACAATGTTTGGCATCAATTTCTTGGCCATTTTATTGCTTTTGCCTAAACATGTTCTGTCATTTTCATATTGAGAAAGTCCTCATTTTTATCCACCTCTACGGTGTAGTATCTGTAGAACACGTGCTCTAGTGAACCACCTAAATCAGTTATTATAAAAAATTATTTAGCCATTTTTTGTGGTCACACATTTTGTATGAACTCAAGTTTTGAACTGGAATGTTAAGTGCCAGAAAGGTTAACTTTTTCACAAAATATCACACTTCATATTTTAAGAATTTATTCATTTCTTCCAGTCCATTTGTTTGTGTTGTGCTTTAAAATCAGTAGCTTAGAAAATTATTTAATATGCAATTTTAATGTAATACTATTTTAAAAAACTTTTTATGTACATAGTTGTTCAAAGAGAACAACATTAATGGTTTATCTGTTTTCTGTTTATCATAAATACTTTTCATAAAAAAGTTACAAATATTTGGTTACATTAATTGTAATTTGTGTTATTTTATATTTAAAATGAAACTAGAAGATTAAATATTTTGATCATAAGTTTTCTTTTTTTTTTTTTAAAACGAACACAACCGTTCATTCTTAAATTTCCTTCTTTGTGATCACCAATTTTAATTTGTTATTAATAAATGCATCTAATGAATTGGCTTTGTTACAGCTAATTTATTTGGTTTCTTTTCCTCATAAATAAGCAAATAAAAACAAACTGTCAATACAAAATACAGACAATTTTCAGAATTCAACATCTGTTTTTAATTAAAAGTGCTGCACATAAAATTAGTCCATGATTATTAGTCAGATGGAATTATTTGACAATTTTTTAATGTTATTTTACTGTCAGTTATTTAAGTTCTATACAAATAAATTCATAATGCATTTATTGTAACTACTTAAAGGTGATCATAAAAGTAGTCTTATTTTGCAGTAGTCTTATTTAACTTAGTCATTTCAAGATATTGTCTGCTTTCAAGATACATCATACAAAAAGTTACAGCTAACTTATATCATGCTAAATAAGTTAAAAAATGTAATTACTAACCAATTTATACAAATACTAGTACAGTATAATACAGTTTTTATTATAAATACTTGACAGAATGACTGCTTAGAAAAAGGTTTAAACAGAAATCAAATTATAGTGAGAATCTGTTGAAGATTTAAAAAACCAGATTACATAGACTGACTGAAATCAGCATTACAATTCTATTTAAATTAGAGACTGTAAAGAATCTGCTTCAATATAATTGAGTATTTTATAGCATTCTGAGAAATCTCAAGTTGAGAAATCTGAATCCCTGAAACAAATAAAAGTAAGAAATAGAGTAAAGAAAAAAGGTGAAGAGCCAAAACAACTTTTTATGAAGAACCTTAGCGGGTTAAATTTTTTAGGGCCAGTTATGCTTACACTTACATATATATACATATATAATGATAGCAGAGGGGTGAAATTTATTAAATATAAAATAAATTTTTGAGCCTTGCATTGCAACATCTCTCCAATTGGCTTTGAAAAGCATAAGCGCTAGAAGGAGGGTATTCTTTAAAAAGATCCTGAAGAAAATTGATTAAATAACAAGCCAGTAAAACTAGTAATAATGATTATATAGATATATATATATATATATATATATATATATATATATATATATATATATATATATATATATATATAGTCATATACAAAAGTATAATCAAGAATTAATTTTTTTTTTACTTTATAATTAATTAGTACTGGCCACACCTGATTCTGATAATAAGAGACATTGCAACCTAAAAATAATTAAGACTACATTTTGTGACAAGTTACCCGAAAGCTTTAACACATTCCAACTGTTTGTGAATTCCAATACACACTTTACACTTAAAAGAGTAGACAAAAACACGCAGTAATAAGATGAATTATTCCTCTGATCTTTTTTTCAAATTTCATATAATATTCATTAATGCTTTCAAACTATTTTTGTTTTTGACACTAACTTAAGCATAACAGTACACAGAATTTTAACTGACCTCTCTTTTATTTAAATCTATTAATATTTTAAACACAAATTTAATTCCTCTGGTGCACAAACATGTTTTCAAAATATGAACTGGCATGCTAACTATGGCAAAGTTAAAAACCAAAAAGCGCAATTGACAATTACTGCACTTTCAGATGAATGCATTGACGATTAGTTTAGTCTTGTACACAGAAACATAAAATAATCTACAACAAATTAATAACTAAAACAAAAAATATTTCAATTTTAAAAATGTGTATTATCACACTCACACCATAAGGGAAGGGATAATGACAGTACACAAATGAAGAGTTACATTTAATAGAAAATTAAGGATTTTCATCCTCCAAACACTGAAATAAATAGCAATAAGTATTTTAAAGTTCCTCCAACCTATTCTTACACTTCCTTGCACACTGGCAATATAAAAAAAATGTATAGGCAATTAATTGCTTAGCAAGTGAACAAACACAATTTCTTTAATATATAATTTGACCATAGGGGGTTTGACCACAGGTGTTTTCTCAGCAGTGGGTCTTTGATCACACTTGGTTTGTCCAATGCGGGCGTTTGACAACAAGCGCTTTGTCCATATACGGTACGGGTTAATTTTTAAAATTGGAATCAAATACACACGATTGGCGATGGTGTAGCACGAACAAATAATATTGTGAAGGATGGTATTACAGTCTTCAGTCTCTCCTCCAATGTAGTCACCCAACAATGTGGCGTCTCCTTTAAGGTGTACATATGGACTGCAGACAGCAAAGGAAAACTCTTGCAAGGTGTCACTGGAGCAAGCTACCCAGCAGAGAATCTATACAGAATGCTGCACGAAAAATTACAACGTGCTGTTTAGACATATGGTCAAACTATTGACATATGTTCAAACAGATGTACTGACATATTGTCAAAAGCACAGTATCTAAACACCAAGAAATCCACATCACTGTCGGTGATTAGTACAAAAGGTAGGTATCAGAAGCTCATTGCCACCTGTCGTCGATTAGTACAAAAGGTAGGTATCAGAAGCTCATTGCCACCTGTCGTCGATTAGTACAAAAGGTAGGTATCAGAAGCTCATTGCCACCTGTCGTCGATTAGTACAAAAGGTAGGTATCAGAAGCTCATTGCCACCTGTCGTCGATTAGTACAAAAGGTAGGTGTCAGAAGCTCATTGCCACCTGTCGTCGATTAGTACAAAAGGTAGGTATCAGAAGCTCATTGCCACCTGTCGTCGATTAGTACAAAAGGTAGGTATCAGAAGCTCATTGCCACCTGTCGTCGATTAGTACAAAAGGTAGGTATCAGAAGCTCATTGCCACCTGTCGTCGATTAGTACAAAAGGTAGGTATCAAAACTCATTGCCACCTGTCGTCGATTAGTACAAAAGGTAGGTATCAGAAGCTCATTGCCACCTGTCGTCGATTAGTACAAAAGGTAGGTATCAGAAGCTCATTGCCACCTGTCGTCGATAAGCACAAAAGGTAGGTATCAGAAGCTCATTGCCACCTGTCGTCGATTAGTACAAAAGGTAGGTGTCAGAAGCTCATTGCCACCTGTCGTCGATTAGTACAAAAGGTAGGTATCAGAAGCTCATTGCCACCTGTCGGCGATTAGTACAAAAGGTAGGTATCAGAAGCTCATTGCCACCTGTCGGCGATTAGTACAAAAGGTAGGTGTCAGAAGCTCATTGCCACCTGTCGTCGATTAGTACAAAAGGTAGGTATCAGAAGCTCATTGCCACCTGTCGTCGATTAGTACAAAAGGTAGGTATCAGAAGCTCATTGCCACCTGTCGTCGATTAGTACAAAAGGTAGGTATCAGAAGCTCATTGCCACCTGTCGTCGATTAGTACAAAAGGTAGGTATCAGAAGCTCATTGCCACCTGTCGTCGATTAGTACAAAAGGTAGGTATCAGAAGCTCATTGCCACCTGTCGTCGATTAGTACAAAAGGTAGGTATCAGAAGCTCATTGCCACCTGTCGGCGATTAGCACAAAAGGTAGGTATCAGAAGCTCATTGCCACCTGTCGGCGATTAGCACAAAAGGTAGGTATCAGAAGCTCATTGCCACCTGTCGGCGATTAGCACAAAAGGTAGGTATCAGAAGCTCATTGCCACCTGTCGGCGATTAGCACAAAAGGTAGGTATCAGAAGCTCATTGCCACCTGTCGGCGATTAGCACAAAAGGTAGGTATCAGAAGCTCATTGCCACCTGTCGGCGATTAGTACAAAAGGTAGGTATCAGAAGCTCATTGCCACCTGTCGTCGATTA